ATCTTGGAAAACCCATGACCAAAAAAGGGCTAGTGCAGTGGTTCAAATAAGCCAGTGCTGCCCCAAAAAAGTAATACATAAATTACAAGGGGGAAAAAAAGAAATGGAATCCATAAGAGACTTGAGACATATCAACTGAATGCAATTTACGACCATGTTTGGGACCTGATTCAAACATTTATGTAACAAAAAAGCTTAGCAAATTGGGCTGGGGTAGACACATGCAAGTGTTAGGCCCTAAGTCTCATGGCTAGCACCATGGGGTGGGGTAGGTGAGAAAAAACATTAGCAAACCAAACCTTGGACCACATTAAAATAATTTCATATTATGTATATACGAGAAATCCAGGGCTGGTTTAACATCCAAAAATCAACTAATACATCGTATTGTAGAATAAACCAGAAACTTCATTTATAGATTGTAGAGTAAGCTACGTAATTAATAGATGTAGAAAAAAACCTTTTACAGTGGTTGGGGATTTAGCTCAGTGGAAGAGTGCTTGCCTGGCAAGTGCAAGGCACTGAGTTCCGTCCTCAGCACAGGAAAAAAAAAAACTTTTACAAAAGTTTTTTTGTAAAAAAAAGCTGGATACCTGTGGCACTTACCTGTAATCCTGGCTACTCAGGAGGCAAGAGATCAGAAGGATTGAGGTTCAAAACCAGTCAGGGCACAAAGCAAGGTTGGTGGAGTGGCTCAAACAACAGAGTACCCACCTAGCAAGCATGAGGCCCTGAGTAAAAACCTTAGTACCACCAAAAAGAAAAGGAAATAAAATATGGAAACTTCCTCAATTGGTTAAAGGGCATCTACTATAAATGCACAGGTAATGTGACACTTGACATGAGACGGCATGCTTTCCCTCCAGTATCAGGAGCATGGCAATGATGTCCACCTATGTTTACTCAACATTGTACTGAAGATTCTAGCAAGTGTAATAGGCATAAAAACCAGTTAGTTTAAAAAGCAGTAAAACTGTCTATTCACAAATGACATGATCACATATACAGTGTCCAACTTAACATGGCTCAATGTACAATCCACTGAATAGAAATTACACTGTGTATGCAGCCATGAAGAAGAACGAAATGTTATCATTCGCTGGTAAATGGATGGAATTGGAGAACATCATTCTGAGTGAGGTTAGCCTGGCCCAAAAGACCAAAAATCGTATGTTCTCCCTCAGATGTGGACATTAGATCAAGGGCAAACACAACAAGGGGATTGGACTATGAGCACATGATAAAAGCTTTAGCACACAAGGGAGGGGTGAGGATAGGTCAGACACCTAAAAAGTTAGTTAGCATTTGTTGCCCTTAACGCAGAGAAACTAAAGCAGATACCTTAAAAGCAACTGAGACCAATAGGAAAAGGGGACCAGGAACTAGAGAAAAGGGTAGATCAAAAAGAATTAACCTAGAAGGTAACACCCACGCACAGGAAATCAATGTGAGTCAATGCCCTGTATAGCTATCCTTATCTCAACCAGCAAAAACCCTTGTTCCTTCCTATTATTGCTTATACTCTCTCTACAACAAAATTAGAAATAAGGGCAAAATAGTTTCTGCTGGGTATTGGGGGGGGAGAGGGAGGGGGCGGAGTGGGTGGTAAGGGAGGGGGTGGGGGCAGGGGGGAGAAATGACCCAAGCCTTGTATGCACATATGAATAATAAAAACAAAAATTACACTGTGAATTTTCATCTTTTCCCAAGCTAGTGATATGTGGTATGATACTGTCTTGTGGTGTAGGGCAGTGGCAGTGGGCCAAAGCCCCCTGTCCACCCAGTTGATCATGAGGGTAAACAACCAGCACTCTACAGTGTATTGGGTTGCCAAGCACTTTTGGCAGATTAGGTGTGTTAAGTGTATTTCTTACTTTGGATACTTTCAACTTAAGATTAGTTTATGAAGATGTACCCCATTCTAAGTCAGTGAACATCTGTATAAAAAATGCTTAAAAATCTGCCATTAAAAAAAAACCTACCAGAGCTAATAGGAGTCTGACAGCTGCTAGATATGAGGTCAGTCTACAAAGGGTGGACTGCATTTTTACATACTGGCAACAATCCACACCAAAATGAAATATAACAATTCCAGCTAGTGCTGGGTACAATGGCCTGAGTTAAACATCCCAGCTACACAGGAGGCATAAACAGGTCAAATCAAAGTTCATTCCAGCCCAGCAAAAATTTGAGATCCTATTCAAAAAACAACTTAAGCAAAAAGGGCTAGGCACATGGTTCAAGTGGCAGAGTGCTTGCCTGGCCCTGAGTTCAAACCCCAGTACCATCAAAAAGAAAAAGAAAAAATCCTTTTGGGAGGGTTAGTTCAGTAGTAGTGTTTGCCTGCCATGTGTTAGTCCCTGGGTTCAATCCTCAGCACTGTCCATCCTCCCCTCAAAAAAGACATTAAGATTCCCATGTACTTAACAAGGCGCCTGCGCTAGACACCTAGAAACAAACATAACTGATGTTCTGGCAACGAAACTCACTTCAAATCATAGCTAAGGAGTATGGTCGGGTATGGTGTTAATCCCAGTACTCTGGAGACTGAAGCAGGAGGATCATGTGTTTGAGGCCAGCCTGGGTTACCCAAGACCGTGTCCCAAAAAACCAAAACACAGTAGCCAGGTACCAGTGGTTCTCACCTGTAATCCTAACTACTTGGGATCAGGAGGATCAAAGTTCAAGGCCAGCCTGGGCAAATAGTTTTTGAGACCCCCCCCATCTCCAAATTAACCAGAGCAAAGGCCTGGTAGAGTGGGCAAGCGTGAAGCCCTAAGTTCAAACCCCAGTACCAGGAAAAAAAAAGCAGAGCCAAGCCAGACACTGGTGGCTCACACCTGTAATCCTAGCTACTCAGGAGGACTATGGTTCAAAGCCAGCCTGGGCAAATAGTTCCATGAGACCCTATCTCAAAAAAACCCTTCACAAAAATAGGGCTGTTGGAGTGGCTGAAGGTGAAGCCTCAGCCCTGAGTTCAAACCCCAGTACCGCAAAGAAAAAGAAAAAAAAAAAGATGAACTGTGACTCAAGAGGTAGAGCACCTACTCCCTCAAAAAAAGAAAAAGAAAAAAAAAAAATACCATAACGGGATGGGGGTGGCATGGCGGGGTGAGGAGAGGTGGCCCAAACAATGTATATACTTGTTGAGTAAATGTAAAAATGATGAAATTAAAAAATAAACCATGTGTGGCAACAGACCTTTCATCCTTTTCATTCTTCATATGCTTAGCAACAGCTTAAATTTTAAATATCTGTACCAACATTTATGATTTTATGTTGTTATAAAACTATAAATGCCAATTCATACTTCCTAAAGGTCATTCATGATTTTCACACACCACAGCAGCTGTTGGGATAAAAACCCAAGTGAGTTAACACTGAGGGCATAAATTCTAGGAGATAAAGGGACAGCCCTTCTCTTCGACTTATAAATCTTCAATTGGGTGATTTTTTTCAACTGACAAGACACTTATCTGCTCACTGACATGTGAGAGAACAGGAATTTTGGCAAATATAATTACATTGCAAGGGACAAATAAGTACTTATTATAAAACTTTTTGTAAGAACAGAAACCCTGAGAGTCATGCAAATGGTAAGGCACTGTGAAGGTACAGAGCTTTCCTCAGTCAGGAACATATACTAGTCAACAGCGTGTTCATGTCAAGGGAAAGGACCTCAACAATTGGAGAAATGCACTTTTTTTTTTTTTTTTCCCCCAGTACTGGAGTTTGAACTCAGGGCCTCACATTTGCTATGCAAGTGCTCTACCACTTGATGTCCCCACTGTTTTGTTTTTTTTGACACAGGTCTCATTACACAGTCCAGGCTGGCCTAGAACTGAGTCAGCCTCCTGAAGACTATTTATTGTAATCCAAAGGCCAAAAAAAGCCAATGTCAATTTTTTTTTCTACTACAAAGGCTGAGGCAGGAGGATCATGAATTTGAGGCCAGCCTCACATGTACTAGGCAAGTGCTCTGTCACTGTGCTACAATCCCACACCTTTTTATGTATTTATTTAATTTTGAAACAGATTTCACTAAATTGCCCAGGTTGGCCTTGAATTTACAATTCTCCTGCCTCAGCCTCTGGAGTGGCTAGGATTAGACAGGAATCATCACACTGCAATTTTTTTTTGAGGTTTTGAAATTCAACTTCAAATTTTACTATTTTACTTACTGTTTCCTATTCCAATTTATCCTGATACATTAGAGGTGAATAAACTTTCTGTAAAGGAAAGGAACACATAGTAAATATTTTAGGTTTTGGAGGCTTTATGTTACAACTCAGCTCTGCAAAAACAGCCATAGACAATCTGTAAACAAATACAAACATTTCAGTAAAACTTTGTTAACAAAACCAGGCAGTAGCCGTGGTTTGCCAGCTTCTGTTCTAGACAATTTGCAGGCTTCAGAGAAGATGGGAAAGGAGGGCTAGGGTGTGGCTCAAGTGGTAGAGCACTTGCCTAGCTAGCACCAGGCACTGAGTTGTTGGGTTTCTTTTTGATGGGATTGGGGTTTGAACTCAGAGTTTCGCACTTGCAAAGCAGGCACTCTACTGCCTGAGCCACACTTCCAACCTGTTTTGCTCTGATATTTTAGAGATGAGGTCTCACAAACTATTTATTTACCCTGCTGGCCTCGAACTGTCATCTTCGTAAAAGTAGCTAGGATTACAGGCATGAGTCACTGCCACCTGGCTAAGGCACTGAGTTCTAATCTCAGCACTATCAAAAAATAAAGGGAAAAGCAATTATACAATTAAATAATTAAGGGAAAGTGCATTTTTTAAATCTCAAATGAGTTTCACAAGGTGCAGACACTGATCTCATTAAGCTTAACAGAAAAAATGAGTCATGTATAATAAGCTTAACAGAAAAAATGAGTCATGTATAATATCTGAATTTTTAAAAACCAAATTCCAAGAAAAATACACTATCTACAATCATAAGAAACAGTGTACTTCACTAAAAGATAAAATGGTAAACATGGCTGGTTTTAAAGTAATGACTTTATTAATAAATATACATCCATATGATGATGTAGGTACAAATCATGAACACTACTCCATTCCCATACACATAATTGCACACGAGTAGCTCAAGTTCATGGACATTAAAACATACACAGTATCTATTCAGACTTTTTACAGCAGAGGACAGCGTGCTTATTATCAGTTAACTGGTAATTATTTTCTCCATAATTGTCTGTGGAAAAAGGAAATTGTGAAAACTTAAAGAATCAAAGTGGTCTGATTACTTTAAACCACATACTTGATTTCTTGTAGCATTAGTTTTCTGACAATTAAGTACACTGTATGTAAGAGCATAAATTTGTCTACTTGGGATACATGGGTGTAAGCAAAGGAAAGACTTAGATACATCCTAGAGTTGAAGAGCAAATAGTTATGCTGTGACAAAAACAAAAATGTAGTAATAGCATCAAAACATTTTGTGTCCAAGAAAAAAATGTTTTGAACTGTTGTGAATTCTTATATTTTACTATACAGGGATTGTAAAATTTTACTGCATACAGAGACAGTGACTAACAGTTATCATCAATATCCCCTGAACTGATTCTTTTAAAGCTGCTTTTAAACTCATACATTGTGACTATTCTTACACTGGATGAATCACTCTTGACCTAATAAATGGAGCCACTTTAACTCAAAGAAACTAGTCTTATTTCATGAAAATATATATGTAAATTCACACAAACATCAATTTGGAATGAATAAATTAAATATACTTTGACAGGTGTTTCTTTTGAAAAATAAAAGAACTTTTAGTCTAATTAAAACACTAATTTAAAAAATGTCCCCAAATATTAAAAACTAAGCCAGATGCTACTTATTTTCTTCCAATACATTGTGCCAGTATACTTTTTAATATCCAGTGCAAAACTCCAAAGATAGTATCAAAATCATCCCATACTAAAGATTAGTTATACAAGATTGTATCTGTCAAAAAGTGAAAATTTCATCTGTATTAGCTCCTTATTTGTTATGGTAACAATAATAAATAAGGCATGTTAATATATTTTTTAAAGAAAAATGTAAAGCAAACTTACTTGAATAGCAAATCATTTTCTGACCAATAGTTTTAATACAGAATAGTGAACCTATTTTGTGAAGAACAGAATTACACAGTAAAAAATTAGCAATTTACCCTTTAAGAAACAATCGTACAGTTGGGGAAAAGGCCAGTTTTCCCTAACTGAATATACTGAAGTATAGGCAAATGTTTAACATGCTATTTCAGTGTTTATCATAACAAGAGACAGTGTTACAAAAGATGCACAATGTAGTCTTTAGATTATAGAAGTAAAAATATTTTATATTTTAAGACTTCACTCATGTAATCACTTAGATGTCTTTCTCTTCAGCATGGTACCAGTAAACTGTTCACAGGAGACAAGTAAGTGGAATCAGGAGATGTTCACCAGCACATACATCTAATATTCCAGGTAACTGCTCACACGAACAGTAAGTAAATTCAGATTTCTAAACGATGTCATCCACTCACAACTGTAGCCATTCGTCCCTTTTTTCTCTGGGACATAGCTCCTGATAATAAACACTTATGAACATACCTCCTTTAGCTGATTTCACTATTTCATAAACATGTATACAAAATCCATTATACAGTAATACACCTGCTTATTTTCTGACACACAGCACAGCACCACTGAGTAGATGTGCTGGAGGGCGAAGAGTGGAATGAATATAGGAGAGGGCAGGGGAGAGAGGAAAGGGTCTGTTTAACATAATCAGGAATGAAAAATAAACTGAAAGGGCATGTCCAATAACTTACTGTAAAACACACATGCAACCAAATCCTTGGCAAAGCATACTTTATTCTATGGCAGAACACTTAATTAAACCTCTCATCAGGAACTAGCTTGAAAGAGGATTTCTAAACAGGCAACTGCTGAACATCATCTTGAGAAACGGCCAAACGACAGATACAGAAGGAAAGTGAATAGATGAACACATGAATAAAGATGCAAGCATTTGTGTGTGTCAGAAGTTATACTGTTCTGAGTAGTTATTAAAAGTTTTATATTCTAAGCTTCTGCAAGAAGAAATTCTGTAACAATTTAGCTGCCAGAATGTTACCACTGATTATGTAGTCATCCAACATGATTTGCTAGGGTTTGTGCAAAGCTAGAATAGTTGAGGTCACTGTCTTAGATGCCAGTGCACACAGTTCCCACATACAATGCAACACCTCTCACTGTAAAGAGCAGCATAAAGTCCAGCTCATTGTGTCAGGCATCACTGGAACACCTGAAGGCTTGCTGCTTTTTTCCTGATAAAAAAGGTATGAAACATGACATCCATTTGCAATCAGAGTTTGCATTAACTGAGAGCAAGTCCAACCAACATAATATGTGCCCATTAGAAATTTTAATTATTTTAAAAGTTTCTGGGTCCTGCAATCTACATTTTAATCTCAAAGGCATTTAAAACTACAAGTACAAACCTTAAAATTCAGTGGAATTTTTAAAATCTGAATCTCACAGTTTTTATTTAGAACAAACTCAAATAAGTAAAATGTGTATTAACAAGGGCTATTTCAGAAAGGAGGGGAGACTTCTCTCTGTCCCTAACTAGAAATACATGGCCCATACTTTTTTCTCTTTTCTATCTTCTAAAGCAAACATTATTGGGAAAAAAACTGCTTTTGAATGAAGTTGTCTCACTGGAGCCACAATGAGATTTTTTTATTACACTAACCAGCATTTTTTATATATTTCATGCATAGATGGATTCCTATATCTCTTAATATTTGGGTTCTGATGGTCAAGAAACTACATTCTGTTCACACCAGTTTTACACTACCACTCAATTTGTATCCTTTGGTAGATATAAACCTGAAAACACAGTAAGTGCTAATGCAATGGGACAATTTCTCAGAAAAACTAAAAATACATTCCAAATAAATGAGCAACACTAATAATGTTTTTAATACTTTAAGACTCACCGCATATATGAAAGGCAAAATAGTGTGACTATAGCTACATGCAAACTGTAAGAATGTTTCTTTTTTCTATATTAAATATGCTATTCTCAGAATGTACTGTATTTCACCAAAAAAAGTAATGTGCCATTTTTATAAAATAGTTTAAGGGTTTTTTTGTAAATATGAATTATTTGTAGTGTTTGGTATATATGTTCTTAGGCAATTAAAAAATACACAACCTGTTATTACTAAAAGGCAAATATTGAAGAATTCTTTTAGGAATAATGGTTACATCAATTAATGCCATGTAGATCAATAAATAAGAGGCTGCTCAAACTTAGAAAACAAAAAATAAGCTTTAAAATCCAAAGCATAGAAATAGCTGTGTGTGGTCTCATGGAAATAAATACTACAAAAACTCACACAGCCATCACCTCAAGTAATCCTGAATCGTTAGTTTCCTTTTTTTGCTCCATCAGTAAAAATATCTTAGATAATACCTTTATTACACTGTAGGCTTACAATATAGGTATAATGGTTTCAGTTGTTCAGCACATGAAGTGTCTATTTAGATCAGCATAAAAGTACTAATGAAACCTACGACACAACCAACCTTAACTCTTAAGGAAAAGCAAAAATGATTTAGTTAGGTGTTCAGTTTGAACCTATGTACAAATCCAATGCCACACTGCTCATGCCCTGGGTGTATTTGTCAGCATATGGCAGCTTCTGAGCACAAGCAGCGGGGGAGAAACCAAATAAAAAAACAAAATCGGAAACCCAGGCCACAAAGTTATGTATGTCAAAAATAAAAGCAAGAAGCTTTGGGATTACTCACAATCTCCTTCTCAACCTGGCCTTTCTCTCCTGCCTTGTTCACTCATTGGGGGGCTTCACTTCACTGCTGGTTTCCTCTACCCCATGAACTGCTCTGCCATGCATCATAGGGTAAGGAAAAGCAGCAATGCCACAGCCATAACCGAGGTCAGCAAGACGGGATAGAGCTTTAATGCTACCTGGAGGTCTCCCTGGGCTGACTTTGTATCCCGCAGCTTTAGTAGTACCCAAAGGTCTGCCTGGACTTGTCTTAAATCCAGCTGCTTTGGTGGTTCCCAGGGGTCTGCCCGTGCTGGTCCGGTATCCCGCTGATTTGGTGGTTCCCGAAGGCCGGCCACGCTTACCAGATCGATTGAGATTTTTCTTTTTCTTTAGTTCATCTTTTATCTCTATGCTTCTCCCACTTGTAGTCTGCAAGTGTGTTTCATTTAATGGGTCTTGCCTCTGACAAACCATTGGTTTGTGGCTGACTGTGTGGCTATATTTGCTTTGCTGGGAAGCATATATGTCAAACTGATCGGCAGCTCTCATGGCATCTTCACTGAGGCAGGAAGGCTTGCCAGGCCCACAGAATGCTGGATTACTGCTGGCAACAGGATGCATCATTTTCTACCAAAAATAAAGACAAATATGCATAAATACACACACACAAATATATATCTGTATGACAGCATTCAATGGGAAAATAGTCTGTCTTCCAACAACTGTGCAGACTACCTAAAATTAGGCCAACAGGCAGGACTCCAGACCACTTACAAACAAATACACATCAGCAGATTCAAAGATCCATGTTTTTCTCAATTTAATCATGGTAGGGACAAATGTCATATAACTCAATTATAATACTAATTTAGGGGCCATAATATTCTCTGATTAGAAATTGGCGTTAAGTAGAAAATGAATGTTAATGTTACATTTTGCAAAGTTTTTCTTTTAGATTATTAAACCCCAAAAGGACAACAGTAAAAACAAGAACTCTTATTAACATGATTTTTTCACCTTGCCTAACTTTCTTAGAACATCTTCCTTTGGCCTTTTATTGCATTTCTCACTATATACTTCTAACCTTTCCAAGTTTCCACAAGACAGATACTCCATTATTATTGTATGGCAATTTATAATTTATACAGATCCCTAGTGTATGTTACACTTTACAAAAGTCAAGCAAAGAACACAATCTCTTGGCCCAAGGTACTGACTCCCTTCAAACATCCTCTATCCAAACAGAAGGCAGTAACATAGTAAGCAAAGGTTCCTATTACCTAAAATGAGTGAACACATATACAAACAGTCTAAGACTTATACTACAAAAATATGGGCAACAACCATAATAATAATATATAGCTCCTATTTTGAAGACAGAAACTTGAACGTACAATACTCCTTTACAGGAGCCCTTGAACAAAGAGTCCAAAGTCTCTGCTTTGTCTGTGAGGACATCGCTGTGATTTTTTTTCTCTATATAAAGAATATTTTAAAACCACCCCAACAATCCAGCCCTAAGTAGCCATATCATTTAGACATACAAGAAATGAGAAGGGTTTTTTTTGGCAAGGCAAGCACTCTGACTTGAGTCATACCTCTAGTCCCAAAAGAGAGAGTTTAACAAATTTAGAAGGGTATAAACATATCTGATGGTCCGGTCCTAAGTTGTTAGGAAATGTTTGCCTCTATCCTTTATATATATATGTAAAGCTGCAACAAGACCTCAGTTATGAAAATAGTTGCCACAAGAAACCAACAGGTAATTAATGTCAGCCAAAACCACTATGAACTTATTTCAGCTTATAAAGGCAAAAGGAAATGGGAATCAAGTCACAGAATCAAATTCTGTTGAACTAGTAAATATTTGCTAAAAATCAATAGAGAACTATTGACCAGCTGGTTTAAAGTCCTAACTATGTAGGAAAAATATTACAATGAGATACTACTTGTTTACAGCAAGAGCTTAACAGACTTGAAAACATAAAACAAGACTGAGCTAGTCACAAATATTAAAAGGAACAATTTTTACTCCCCAAAGGTTTAAGAACTAAGTTATTAATTATCACTTTACTAACTCCAATTCTAATTTCAGATGAGAAACCGGAGACACCTGAGGGTAAGTTTCAAACACATTAGCCTAAAGTTAGTCCTTGAGCATTTTCTATTCTGTTTTTTGTTTTGCTTTTTACTGTCCTAGAGTTTGAACTCAGGAGCCTCAAGTTTGCTAGGCAGGTGCTCTACCACTTAAACCATACTCTAGCCAGTATGACCATTTGATATGCCAGGCAGTACGCTTGGCATTTTGCACATTGTCTGAGTTAATCCTTGGTACATGACAATGAGAACCTAAAATTACTTCTTCTATGTTACAGAAATAGGTGCAGACTTTTATCAACCTGCCAGGCAGGGTCACATACTGGGAGATAGTAAATCCAAATAAGAATTTAGAGAATCTCAATTCAGAACCAACAATCACAGTAACAGGGATAACTGTGGGGTTTTGTCCTGTGCACTGTAGGATGGTGACCAGCATCCCTGATGTCTATCCATTAGACACCAGTAGGACACCTCCCCCAGCCTCCCCAACCCTGACACATTTTGTGACCATCAAGACTTTTTCTAGATACTGCCAAATGCTCCCTGACAAGAAAAAATTACCTCCCACCATGGAAATCACTCAGCTATACTAAAATGAAAACATACAACTTAAAATGTTCCTATTTAAGTTTTTTTTGTCGTCTGGTATTTTTGGCAGTACTAGGGTTTGAACCCAGGGCCCCAAGCTTACTAGGCAGGCACTCTATGACTTGAGTCACTCTGCCAGTCCATGTTTAAGTTTTTATTCACCTCTGCAGTCCCTACCTTCACAAATATCTACAAAACCTTTCTGTTGGTAACATAAAGTCAGATAAATTTCCATATTGAAGAAAAGTCAATGTTGAGGTTTGTGAAATGACAACCACATTCTTCTTCCCTTCAAGTTATACACTCATTGGGAAATATATACAAGAATTAAATGGGAACCAAAATAAGTTTATTGCCAATAAAGTTGGACTAAAGACCATATGCAAACACAAGGAGGATCCCAAAGGAAAAGTGAACCCTTTTCAATCTTACTATTCTGGTATCATCCTGCTAGACTCTCAAAACAGGGGAAGCCAAGTGTGGTGTACATGCTATAATCCCAGCCTGTGCCTGTGGCAGGCTGAGGCAGGAAGATTGCAAGTCCAGGGCCAACCTGGCCAAAGTTAGCAAGCCCCTAGCTCAAAAACAAAATTTACACACACACACACACACACACACACACACACACACACAAAAGCTGGAGCTCAAGTGGAAGAACATTTGCCTAGCAAGTGTGAGGCCCTGGGTTCAATCCTCAATACTGCCAAAAAAAAAAAGAAGAAGAAGAAAGATGTAAGTTCTTTCTCTCACAGACAGGACTGCCAGTTGATGGAGAACACATTCCTTTCTACAGTCAGTTTCAATGTTTTACAATTCACACCTTTTCAATTCCTACCACCAAACTTACCAAAACCTTCCCTGTGGACCTCACTTGCTTTACTTCATTTTCTCTAACATACTGGGACATTCCCGATCAGCACTCAGAATATATAGTTCAGTTTACATTACGTTAGGCTTTTAAAGCCAAAAATGTGGCTACATATCCTTTATTCAACCCACAGATTAAAAAAAAAAAAAAAGACCATTAAGAAATTAGACCTGCAATAAAAAAGCAAGGGGGGGAGGGTGAGAGAGACATAGCCTGGTGTGGTGGTACATGCCCATAATCTCAGCACTTAGGAGGTTTAAGGCAGGAGGATCCTGAGTTTGAGGCCAGTCTGTGCTGAGGCAAGTTTCAGGCCAGGGCTACAGAGTGACTCTATCCCTCCTACTCCACTCAAAAGATACCTGCTTCCAATTCCTTTAATCTTCTCCAGGAATTGAGGCCTTTGGTTTGTATTAAAATATTATGTTAATTTACTGCTGGCATCATTCACACTTACTGAGGGCCAACTCGATGTAAGACACTATAAGAAGCAATAGGATGCAAAATGGACAACAGTAAAGCTGTCTGTTCCAGAAGAAAAGAAAATGAGATAATGACATAAAGACCATGTCCAAAGTGTGGGTCTTCTATGTGTTCTGTATTTCCCTTCCCTGCTACTGCCAAGAAGTACAGTATGCTGCTTATTCAATAACTGACTAACAAACCAGACAAGAAATCCCTCTGACAAACACTCATGTAAACAGTTAACAAAAGGAAACTAAAATTAATCCTTCCCTTTCAGACTGCAACCTTAAGCTAGGCATCAGCATAAAACCCTTGCGTGCACAATCACCGGCTATGGATGCTATGTTTACCATCAGTATTTGCACAATACAAGCATTAGCCCTGTATTTCATAATGCTCCCCTTCCACTCCTGGGCTTCAAACTCACATCCTCCTGCCTCGGCTTCCAGAGTAGCTGCAATTACAGGCACGCACCACCATGCCTGTCTAACAGCTGCTTTGCTTTTGGTTTTTTTTTGACAGTACTAGCGTTTGAACTCAGGGCTTCGAGCTTACTAGGCAGGCAGGTGCGCTACCACTTGAGCCATGCCTCCAACCAAAGCTCACTATTCTTGAAAGACTGCACACTAAGTTCATGGAAACTACTCAGGACATATTTCTTAAGAAAATCAGAACAAACACATTTCTAGAAAGTGTGGGCTGAATGGAAGCCAAGAGTTACAGAAATGCCCTGGTGACTACGAAAGGTTAAGGTCCAGGTGTGGTGTCCATGCCTGTAAGTCCAGACACTGGGGAGACAAGAGATTGAGAAGATTATTTCCTGAAGCCAGTGGGGGTAAAGTTAGTGAGACTTCCATCTTGCAAAATAAGCAAGGGGATGGTGTGGTGGTGCACAGCTGCAATCCTGCTAGGCAAGAGGCATAGGTAGAAGGATCTTGGTCCCACCAGCCAGGGCAAAAAAAAAAAAGTGAAACCTTATCAGAAAAATAAGTAAAGTAAATGGGCTGGCAGCATGGCTCAAAGATGTGAGTTCAAACATAAATAACATAAATAAATTTTAAAGAATGGTTCCCTGAAAGTAAGATATTCATATATATTTTGACTGTGAGGCAATTTGAACTTTTGAAACACAATCCCTCCCTGAACTTATTTTACAGAGTGTGTTTAACTCCTGAAGTTATTTCAGCGAGCTGCTCTTTATAAAATCAAGTCCTCTTCCCTTATCTTGAATGTAGCAGTCATTACTGCCAACATAAAGAACTACAACTATTTTTAGTAACTTCACAAGGCATTCTTGAAGCTTTGGAAACAGAGAAAACCTTCCTTTCAAGAAACCCAAGTTCCACTCTCCTTCAACGATCGTACATCAACCTAGTCTCAGGGATTCTCTCAAGACATTTGGCTAACAACTGTATGTAATCACATATGATTTTGTAATTATAAATCAAGTGTGAGTTCGCGACCCATCTCCATCTCTGACGGTCTGTCTAGCAAAACCCAGTTGCTACATACCCTGCCCCACCGCAGAAAGTTGGGATAGCAGGCTAGGTCCTAAATAACGGCCTCCTTTGTCTTCCTTCTACTCCTTAATTGTGCCCCAGGGCGCAGTGTCCCGGGTGCTGGAATCCGTATTTGACAGCAGGCGTTCAGAATGCTTTACCTGTTGTGTGCCCCGAAAGCGCCGATTACCAGGACCTTATCAAACAAGTTTGCAGGAGATGGGCGAGCACACCAGTAAAGGGCTGCGCGCCCCGCCCGCCCAACACCAAAACCCGCGACCTGCGCACTTGGAGGTCCGCGAGCGGCGAAGTCGGCGGCCACTCGGCGCAGACGCCACTCCCGAGGCTCCCGCTGCAAGGGTGGAGGGAGGACTGCGGGTTCCGACCTCTCCAAGAAAAGAAAGGGTGCGCCCTCCCTTCCCTCTCTCCCTCCCCCGCCCGCCGGTGCATCTCCCCCGGGACGGGTTGCGTCCGTGCCCCTCGCTAGACCTGGGGCCCCTCGGAGGCAAGGGTTGCGGGGTTCTTCCCGCCGCCGCTCCCGAGCTGGCAGCCCGCGCGCCCACCTACCTCGGCCGCGCGTAGCCCGGCCCCTCAGCGCGTCCAGGGGCTGCCCATCGGCCGGAACCTCGCGCTGGCGCCGCTCGCTCCTCGGCCGCCGCCTCCCTGCTCGGGTGGGGAGAGTCCAGGGCCGAGGGGCAAGCAGCGAGGGCGGCGGGGCGGCGAGGTAGTCGCCGGCGTCCAGCTCCGGCCGCGGCCACCGCGTAAAGGCCAGCCCCGGACGCAGCAGGAAGAGGCCGCCACAGCCCCGTAGTGCGAGCGCGGCGTGCGCGAGCCCACGAGAACGGCGTGCGCACGCGCACGCACACACATCGCGAGACCGCGTCTCCCGCCGGCGCCCAGCACGCGAACTTTGACGAGGGCCGGGGGACCAAGCTGCGCGTGCGCGGCGTGGACGGCGAAGCCGCGGGCGAGGTTCTGGTCTGTGCTGCTCCTTGGATGGGTAGTCAAGAGCTGGGTTGCTGGGTCCCACCAAAAAAAGGGAGGATGAGTGACTTCCTTCCTGCATTCATTTTCACCCCAGTTCTGTACTGTCGGAACTCCTACTCACCCCATACAGGGCTAGTACATGGTGTCTTGTTTGCAAAAGACTTAATGCCTCATTATGCTAAGGTGACCTGTTCCTAGGGTCCCTCTTCTAGCATGTTAGAGACACGGCGTCTACTCTTTAGTGAGATTCCCCACCTGAGAACAAAATGGGAATATTCAAATGACACTGGGTGTTGGGGCCTTGAGACCTAAGATCATGTGATAATGAAAAGTCTCATGACTTTTGTGGGACACCCTATCATTTTCAGTTTTTTGCATCCGGGACCGCTTTAGAACTGCCAGTCTTCATTCTGAAGGCGGACAGAGTCATAGGTCTTACTACATTTTGTGCCACTCTGACTTCATTTTGCCTCTAACTTTTTTTCCCCCTTTTGAGTTACTTGTGCTGCACTTAGCTTGGATTCCAAAAATGGACAGGTTTGTTCCATAAATATCTCTAAGACAAGGGTCTGAAACCACCCTAAGCAATGGCGAACTTCTTTGATGAGATCACTCCACTACCCCCACTCCAAACAGGGGCAATTATTACAAGATGGGAACCAAATTGCCCTCTCAAGCAAATGACTGCCCATGGCCACTTTGAACTTCACAGAACCAGGCCTGAGGTAAAGATCCTGAGGCCACGGCCTGGCCAAGATGACCTGTTTCGTTGGCTATGCAAACCCCAACCCTTGCCTTTGTTCCCCTTTTCTATAAAATCCCAAAGTTCCTGCCAACTCCTCAAGACAGATCTGGGGTCACTAAACCTTTTCATCTGTTCTTAAAGCTCTTTTCCTGCCTTTCACTACCGTTCCTCTCTTTGATTGGCATATTGTGAAGAGAGGCCAAGCCTAGTCCTTTGGGAATCCCAGAGCAGGGGCTTTTGCCCTAAAACTCTGGTAACAATTCCACCATCAAGGAAGTGGTGGGGCAAGCAGTAGTTTGCTTACAAACTCCTCCTTTTATGGATTATAAGATTTCTGGTATGTTACTTCCCACATACAAACCCACTTAGCAGAAGAGATTAGCTTCCTCAATCCTTCTTCCTGCAATTTTCTAGAAGTCAGAAAGGAGAGGGTCCAGGATTAGTGCAATATTATGCAATAGGGAGAGGTCATGAAAGATGGCTTGTCCTTCCCCTCCAGGCAACGAAGTCTATTTGAAGAGACAAAACAAGTTTTACAAAACAAGTATAGCTCTTCAGCAGGTGCCACCTGGCCTAAGAATGAAAGGAGGAACAACTTCTCTGGGTGAAAGGCAGGAAGTCAAACACAACACATAACACAGGCAAACCCATTCATTCATACTACTGATAGACTGGAAATGGAGGTCAGCCAAAGGGTCTATTGAGATGTCTATGAGCTCCAATAAAACTCTGGACACCAAAGCTCAGGTGTGATTCCCTAGTTGAGAAGATAGGATTTTCTGTCAGGCAGGGTTTCATAACATGATACTAAACATCATTCTACTTGTACCTATGAAATACTACAAAACAGAACTGATCACATTAGTATTATTTATACATAAGGGGAAAATATCAATGTAGGAAACAGTTCAAATACAAATACAGATTTGAGGATATATTATTAAGTAACCTACCAAAAAACAAATTTTCCCCAAACAAGACTTTTTTCTTTGTTTTGGTGGTGTTACTGGGTCTCACACTTGATAGGCAGACACTCTACCACTTGAGCCACTCTGCCAGCCCCTTTCTGTGTAGGGACTTTTTTCTTTTTTTAAAAAAATAAATTATTAGGATATATTTGTTTTATAGGGGGTGATTCATAGTGACAATTCCAGTAAGATTTATATTGTACATTAGCTACATTGTCCCCATTGTCTCTCTCCCTTTGTGTTGGGTATTTTTAAGATAGGATCTGTTGAACTATTTCCCCAGACTGGCCTCAAACTTTGACCCTCCTGATCACTGCCTCCTGAGTAGCAAGGATTACAGGCATGACCCACCAGCAACTGGTCCTTTTTTTCCCCTGTGATAATCTCCTTATGTTGCCCAGGCTAGCCTTGTCATGATCCTCCTGTCTCAGCCTCTAACGAACTGGGATCACAGATATTAAAGGTGTGTAATAGCATGCCTGACCTACTTTTTTTATTTTTTTGAGACAGAGTCTCACTATGTAGCTCAAGCTGGCCTAGAATTCTCTTTGTAGCCCAGAATGTACTGGAACTTGAGATCCTACTGCCTTAGCCTCTCAAATGCTGAGATTATAGGTGTGGGTCAGTCACTACACTCAGCTGTTGTTTTACTCTTGAAATGGGTTTTGAGAATGCATCAGAGCACTTTTGTCCTATATCATCATCATTCCAGATTCGTAACTCAACTTTTGTCTGAAATGGCATTTGAACATAAAAACACTTAAAAAACAAACACTTTCATACTTACAAGGTCAGGTGATTTGCAGGCCTAGTGGGGAAGCAGTCAGAATAACAGAGGAAATTAGAAATTCCTGGGCCTGAATGGCTTTCTCCCACTTGCCTATGTTACCTTGAGCAAGTCACTATTCTTCCAAATGTATGAGATGAAGACCATATCCTTCTAGAGCTGTGAAATTAAATAAGCTACTAGGTCTACTTAAAGTGCCATCAGTACTTAGAGGCTCATCATACTACTTTCAAATACATTTCTTTCTTTTTCTATGGTATTGGGGGTCAAACTTAAGGCCTTGCACATACTAGGCAAGAGCTCTACCACTGAGTTACACCCCAGCCGTACTTTCAAACATTTAAAATTTTCCATAAAAGTTTTTAAGCCTGTCCAAGTTTTTGTTATATCTTTGAAGATAACCAAACATTGACATTTCAACAAAATCTTAAATAAGAATTCACAGAAACAAAGTACTCATTGCTGTTTTCATCATTAGAGTTGAAAGAAATAATCGAGGGAGGCTTGCAGAGGACTCGAGTGTTGAGCTGGGGTTTGAAGGTGCTGGACATGGATTGGTGGAGAGGAAGCTGAGGTGGAGGGTAGGAAGAATCCTGGTGGAACATACGGGTTTAAATCGCCACTTGATTCTGGAAAGATCTTTTGTAGGAGCAGCATGAGCCAGGAAACCTCCAGTGAGCTTACTTTGGGGAAGATCTAGCCACCAAACTGGAACTGTGCACAGATACAAGCTGACTTTTCTGGATGATGGCAGCTATTTGGTAAAACTTCACCTGGTGGCCTGTTGATCAGGGAAGGGAAGGCTCATACCAGGCTTACCCTGACACAACTATTGTTTTATGCTGTATGTTGACATATTTTACAAACTCAGTGGAATGCATAAGTGCTATAACAATGCAAAATATGTTTCACCACAGTCTATGAGTCATCTTCGCAAGTCAGTACAACAGATTTTGACTTTTTTTTTTTTGGTCGTGGTGGTACTGAGGTTTGAATTCAGAGCCTTCAACTTGCAAGGCAAGGACTCTACCACTTGAGCCTCCCTCCCAACCTTTTATACTTTACTTATTTGACCCACTATAAAGGGCTTACTAATTCCCTCATGTATGAATATACTACCTTTCTAGGCAACTGCTCACAATCCAGTTCTAATTTCTAGAAAGTTTGACCTCAGATGAAGCAGTCGCCTTTCTATTAATGCCTACTCACTGCCCAAGTTTGAGTCATCCAAATTGCACAAAGTAAGTCAAATGATCCCACTTGCCTCTGTGATAAGGTGCTCATTTAATTCATGCAAGACCCTTAATTGCAGAGAACTCTGCAAAGCGTTTATTGGATGCCATGGTAGACATTACAACTCGTCTTCATTTAGTCCCACTGTACTCCTCTAACCACCTCTCCCAAAGGACTGTGACAGCCCAGATGGCAGAGCTATTCTGTCATCGTGGATCATGCAGTAAGATATGAAGTACAGCTTCCCCTTCCCAGCCCAGAAAAGAATTTAGTATAGATGAGAAATAAGTTTTTTTTTTAAATCAGAGATCTTGGGTAATTACTATAGCATAATCTAGCATATCCTGAAAAATACAAATAACTAAATTACTTTTGCTTCTGATGAAAAGCTGGGGGTGAACTGAAGAGATACCCATAGGACAGCAATCTAGAAGGCGGAGGGGAGCATCTACAAGGCACTTAAGTCTTTGAGAGACGATAGGTACATATATGCCCCAAGATGCCTGGCCTTTGCCCTTGGCTCCTGTGAGAGATTAGGAGGACCCAGCCCTCCCTAAAGGGACTTGTTTTCCTCTGTAAGGGTTGGGTAGGGAGCTAAGTATCCCAAGAATGTTAATTTCACTTTAGACTTTTGTTGTAAGCCCTCAATGTGTTTGAGGTCCTCAGGCACAAATCGTTTCCCTACTTGACTGATAACTGTCAGGCCCTTCTGTACCTGCTATAGTGGGAGTTACTGAAGCAGGGAACCCATCATCAACCTCAGACAGAGACAAGGACAGATAGGGAGAAGCTGCAGCTTTCTCTGAAGGAGGGCTACTGCTATCACTCCTCGAGGTCCTGCCACTTTCACAAACAAGAACCTTGGGAGCTGTCAAACAGCTGTTCCCTCCACAGATCCTTCAGCTGTCACCAGGACAGCCAGGCTGTGTTTAAAACACCTTGCAGCTGCACAGACTCAGATCCAGCCTCAGATCCTAGAGGAGGCTTCATTCCAGCCAGGGAATCTGCAGAAACCATCCTGGGTGCTGCTCCATGGGGCTTTGCTGCAGGAGACTTCTCTTGGGCCATGAAAACTTCAGATG